AGAATTTCACGTATTGCCTCTACTCGTGTGAATGACACAAGATATATATCAATCTTACCTATACAAAAGAATTTTCTATTCAACATTTGTTTTTCATTTTTCAAAAGAGGCATTCGAGTTTGTATTGAAATAAGTAGTCGTGTTACGTTGAATTTGTTGACATAGTAAGAAAGTAACTGAAGAAAGAGCATTTCAGTATTTGTCGTATTTTCTGATTTCCATCGACTTGCGTAATCATTGCATTTTTGAAAAAACTCAGGATATTCATCGGCGTCTACCATCACCGGTGCTTTATCAATGCCGAATGCCTTGTTTTTTAGCAATCATAAACAATTTGCCTTTGTAAGAAGAAAAAAAAGCAAACTTACACATTCGTGAAGGCAAGGTAAAACAGGTGGATCGAGTTGTTGAAGAAAATGAATAATCATGAAATGAAAAACTATTGGATGCAGAGTACCAAGATCAGGTTTATCAAGATTACATGTCTATGTAAGACAATAAATGATAGTTGTCATTATTCAATCAGAATAGGCTAACCTTTGCAAGAATTCGAAAAAGACGAAGTAGTGATAGTACACGTTTATCAAATTTCGTATAAATTTCAATTATTCGAGATAATTGAATGGCACGAATATTATTTGAAGTTAGTCGTACGAGTATATTTGAATTAATTATAGACATATCTATACATAACGGATTATGATCAGTATTGATGTAAGCTTCTTTACAATGCTCTAACAATAGTAAAGAGACATTAAAGTATATTGAAATAAATTATGACATACCAGATGTGCGAACAATATCGAGTAGTTCTTTTAAGGTTTCATACGGTAAAGTTTTATTAAATTGAATATCAATATCGATATTGCTTGTTTCTTTCAAACAACATTCGAATAATAAAGAACCATACAAAGTTATTTGAGCATCTTTTATTTGAAAAATAGATAAACTATTAATTTATAAACAAAAAAACAAGCTTTTGTTGATTACCTGGTTGTTTAGTATGAATAATATCTCGTAAATGATGATAAATGTCTAGATGTTGTTCGAGATCAGTTTTAGAAAGACAATGGTCGTTAAGAATTTTGTCAAAGCTCGTATTTAATGCGTATAAATGTTCAGGAGTGAATTCTCTAGAAGGAATCGCAACTTTTTTCATTTGTGTCTATGATGAAAAAGAAATTTCATAGTGTGAGACGTGCGAAAACAGTCAATGATCTACTTGGCCTTGTGGAACACTAGTCTTGTTTGTTTGATTAAAGTTGTTCTTCGGTACTATAAGCAAAAAAAAAGATGGCAATATAAAGAATTCAATTCATTTGATATAGCTATACCCCATTGTTGTTCTTGGTATCTGTGGTGTTGGTTGTGATGTATGTTTTGTACATCTGTAGTCTGATGTGTTCTTGATGTAAATCTTGTTGAGACTGGAGCAAAATTAAATGGTGGCCTTTGATTTGGTGCTAACGGAAAATATTGAGGTTGAGAGTTGTAATTAATCGGTCTGTAAAATTGCTGTGGATAAGGACGTGAAGGAAAATTATTTCTCGAAGTATTAAAAGAATTCTGGTGATAAGACACAAACGGAACATAACTGTGATTGTTCATATCGTCGGATGAAACCGCTACATGTGTTTGATTTGTGTATACTGCTGATGGAATGTTTGAAGATGGTTGATTCATTGTGTACTTCAATCTGAAAACAAAA